TGGAGGCCATCTTGGGCCAACGTGGCCATCTGGGCGCCATCGTGAGCCATCTTGGAGGATCTTTTTCTGGATTGAGCGCCTTTCCGGGTGGCCGGCGGGACAAGCCGAAGCCCCAGGGGGAGTTCTTTTGGAAAAAGAACCAAAACCCAAAGCGATATCGTTCGGCACGCCATGCACCCCTTTGATAAATCAAAAGGGGGCGGCGGATCCTCGTGGCCTTCGGCCCATGCCGACACCGTGCTTGGGTTGTGCGAAGGCCTCTTGTATATGCATTGGGGTGTCGTGGGGAGCCAGCTTCTCAGGGGCCTCCTGGAGGCGGTTTGGGCGCCTCTTGGGGGCCTCTTGGGGCCTCGTGGGGTATGGTTTGGGCCTCTTGGAGGCCTCTTGGTCGCGTCTTGGGCGCCTTTTGGGGCCTCTTGAAGCCTTTTGGCGGCCTCTGGGAGCCTCCTGGGGGTTTCTCGGGGCACAAACATCGAATTTTCGGTTCGTGGTCCCCTGCTTGGGCCCCTCTTGGGGTCATCTTGGGGCTCTCTTGGGCCGTCCTGGGCGCTTCTTGGGCAATCTTGGAGCCCTCTTGGGCAGTCTTGGGGCCCTCTTGGAGGCCTCTTGGACTGTCTTGGGGCGGTCTTGGGAGCTTCTTGGGCCGTCTTGGAGCGTCGGCAAGCCGAAAATGCCAGAAGGCAAACATCCTTCAAAAACCTTCGTACTATCTGCGATTTGGGCTTCTTGAGTCTCTCTCGGGAGGCCTCTTGGAGCGCTCTTGGGGCCTCTTGGGGCCCCCTTGGTCCGTCTTGGAACCATTTTCGGGCGCCTTGGAGTGTTCTTGGCCTCGGCAATGCGAAAACTGCGTACTTTGCGAAGGTTTAATGTTTCCGGGACGCGAGTGTGGTATATTTTACGAGGGTTTGTTGCTTCGGGGTCGCAAGCAATATGTAACTTGCGAGGGTGAACGGCCTCGGGCACGCGAGTATTGTATAATTTCCGAGGGATAGTGGCCTCGGGTGCGATACGTGTCCCATGCCCCCCCAAGAATTGAGAGAACGCGATCCGGGCGTGGTAACCGGCTGGTTTGGGGTCCCCGCCCCTCGCGCGGACTGCAACAGTTTACAGTAGGAAGCAGCTAGCAGCACTGTAACATTGGAGATTTGAAACTGCCACAGGTGCATGGCACGTTCGTCCTACAGCCTGGTGGCCCCACAGAGGGACTGGCAGATTGTCACAGGAGAAGGAACATGATAGTCCCAGGCGGCGAGTGAAGAGGCCCCCAGGGCGCAGCCAGCGTTTCCCTCATGGCGTTGCCGGGTGGGGGGCTGGGGGCCTCGGGCAGCCCCAGGGTGGCCCCAGATGGTCCAAAGTTGCTTTCAAGACCGCTCAAGGGGCCGTCGAGGCAGCTCCAGAGCGTCCCAAGACGCCGAAGGTGGCTTCAAGACGGCCCAAGAGGCCCCTCCATAGCCGTTCTGCCTCAAAGCGGCCAGTGCCCAGCTGAGGCCCAGGCCCGAAGCGGGGTCGACTCTGCGTCGTTTGTGGGGTTCGCTCTCGAGGCAGTCGAGGTTTCCATGGCGCAGGCAGGCCAACAGACACCGTCATGGTGGTCCTGCGCGTTCCTGTCGTTCAACCTCTTGACGACGCTGCTGGCGTGGGCAGGTCAGTGGTGGGTGCTTGTGAAGGAGTGTTGGTTCGCTGAGATGGCGGCGGTGTTTGGTGAATACGATGCTGGCCTGGTCGGTCTGAATCCAAGTCGCTATTGGGTATTGCTGGTGTCTGTAAATCTACTTGGCGTGGTAGCCACCAGCTGCATCGGCGCACGGCATTATTTGTACCCATCGGAAGGAAGTCGTCGCGATGTATACAAGGCCATCGTTGCAGCTGTGGACCTGGATACTCCTTATAACAAAGGCCTTACAGCCGGTGCCGCCGACCCTGAAGGGGGCGACGAAGATGACGACGGCGACGACGACGATGACGACGACGACGACGACGCTCGCGAGCCCCCGTGGGGGCCCTTGTGGGCCCAGTTTTCCTCGGGACCCCTCCCAAAGATCTCCCTCGGGGACCGCTCCCGTCGACCCCCTTTCCCCGGGGACCTGGCGGGGAAGGGAGCAATGGGAAGGGGCTTCCGTTCGGTTCGACTGGTGTCCCCCCTCTGCGGTTCCGTGGGGCTCCTTTGGGCCGTCTTGGCCGGAGAGGGGGGGTCGCGACTCCCGGGCCCCCCTGGGACCCGCGAGGCGACTGCCCCCAGGGCCCACCCAGGACCCCCCCCCCGTCGGGATCAAAGGGAAGGGGCTTCCGTTCGATTCAATCACGACGACGTTCGATTTCCGTCAGGCGGCCGGATCGCTTGAGGAGGAGGGCCAGGGAAAGGGGGAGTGACTACAGTCGGGGCGCTGAAGCAGGAACCCTTTTCGTTGGGGAGGGGCTCCGTGTTCCTTGATTGTTTCACAGCTTGCCTTAGGTTTTCCTTCGGTTTTCGATGGGAAATCGAACTTCAACTGATGGGAAAAGGGGGCCTCGTTCCTTATTTAGGGCTCCTTAGGTCAACGACCCGACTGCAGCGGCGACGGTGACGACGACGACGACGACGACCCAAATGGACGAACGTCTCACACACGCCGACGGGGTTGGCGGACTTCGTTGCCACGCAGGGCGTGCAGTACGCACTCGGGCGCGAGACGGTGGACCTCCCCGCGCTGCGACAGCGCAACGCGTACTTCAGGGGTCTGCCCACCGCCATGGTTGGCTTGTTTGTTGCCTTTCGCGATATCCTTGCATACCGTGTAGATGTCCTGTGCCTGAGGCAAGTCATGAAACACGATGCAGGGTATGCAAACGCGATAGAGAGCGACCGGCTGTATAATCCCCGTGGGCTGCCGTTGCATCCCCGACCATTGAACGTATTAGGCTCGGCAAACGAGCTCCATGTTCTTTCCCACTTCTTCCGCGAGATCGGCGATCTGAAGCGTTGGTCGCTCAGGCTAACCGAGGTGCACAGTGAAGCTGAGTTTCTGGATCTCTCGCTGGATTTGGGAAGTGCCCCAGAAGACATCACGGGTTTTTATGGATTTGCTGCTCCCTCCGTGGTGCTCTTTGAGGATGTGCTCAAGAAACCGCTCTGGGGAGCGGCGAGCAAGGACCCCGCGGTGAGGCTCGCCATGGCCCACTATGGAGTCACCACTCCCTCGTCGCTGGTCCAGTTCGTGAGGGACAAGGGTGCGCGCATTGCTTCACGCCAGGCTGCTCACGAGGCATTCAAAGGAAATAAGGGTTCAGGTCAGCCAGGCAGCGTGGTCTATATCGATCTCGATGGTCAATCCCTCCGGTGGGATGTCTTGTGGGCGTTGTTCCAGCTCCTGGCAGCAGCTAAAGCAATTGCCGAGCACGCTCCGAATATCCGCTTCGTCCCGCTCTTGCAGAAGTCGACCATCTATTTGCATATTTTTCTCGACGGTGGTCTAGCAATTGGCGCACTTCTGTGCGCCTTTGTTGTCTACCCAGCGGCGTTCGCGTGGGAAGAATTCTTAGACAAGTTTCAATCGATATGCGAGGAAGAGTTGCATGGTTTGGTTGGAGAGGGACTTGGCATTATCATGAACGACGCTACCATGGAAACCACAATGGAGGTAACACTTCCAATTCTCACCAAGGTGCTTCCCCAATTCGTAGCTCCCGTGAGCGAATTGCATACGCCGTCCGGCTCAGAGGGTCTGCGCATCGTGTACCTGATTGTTTATCTTGGTTTGGTTCACGTCGTGACGGTGATGGTGATGGGAACATCAGTTTATGAATTCCAAGCGGTCGTCACCAGCCCAGTGGCAAGCTTGGGGAAAAGTGGTCGTACCCTCGCAGTTTCCATGGCGGCGTTGGCAATTAAGGCAGTGTCTGTGATGGCAGTTTATGTGGGAGCGACTTGGAATATGAATGTTGTCGGTATGATTGCTTTGATGCTGAACATTCGTGCATCACAATTGGGATTATCTTGCATGCTTTTCGTCCTTTTGCTTGTGTATTTTGGGAGTGGCTGGGGCGCTGCGGCTGCTTTGGAAGCCGCTGGACAGCATGATGCGCATTACGTGGATCAGAACAGCTTTGGCTATCAGTTGGCACAGTGGCCACCTCCACAATGCGCATGTACTGATATTCGAAAGAAGCCGCGCCGCAGAGATTCTGTTTCCCAACAGTTGGTGACCGAAGGGCTGATGACGAGCTATGGCGCTAGTTCATCAGATGCTGCAGACACCCAGTTTCACGCCGTAACCTTGCCGACGCAGCCGAATTACGCTATGCCATCGCGGTACCATCAGCGGCTTCTCAGTGACACGCACATGCATCGTCATTAGCACCCAGACAGTTGTTGACGCTTCGCGAATCCCCACCATCCCATCCTAAAACAGCCACTCTAGCGAGGAGTACCGATTATCGGGATCTGTCGATCAGCTTTCCAGCAACGATGCCCAGAGGAATTGCTTAGGTCAGGGGAGTGTGGGAGCACAAAGAAACAGAGGACGGGGGATGCCATCATATCCCAAAAGGGGAGGATGGAGGAGGAATCGGAGGAGGGGGAGGGAGGAGGAGGAGGAGGAGGAGGAGGAGGAGGAGGAGGAGTATTTAGTACTCCGCGGCCCGCAGCCTCCCTCCGCCGCAGCACCGAAGCCCTGAGGAGGAGCAAGACGAGGGGAAGGAAAGGAGGGGAGGACGGGCGGCCGCACTCATGCGGCAGCCACCTGGGGTCTCAAGAGGAGCCACCCCCAGGAATAAACGCGCCTCGACGATGCAGACGAGCATGTCGAAGCAGTCCTCGAAAGAAAAGGCGCCCGCAGGCGCACTCCCCTGGGGTCTCGAGAGGAGCCACCCCCAGGAATAACAGCGCCTCGAAGACGTCGAGCGAAGCCACAGGCGACATCAAACGCCATGACGAGGCAGCTGTAGGACTTATACCATGATACACATAGGCGCCCAGGAGACCAGAAGGCCTCGAAAAGAAATGAAATGTCAGCACGACGAAGTTAGGTGCCGATCTGCTCGGGCTGCTTGCTGCAAAACGCCACACGCCCCTTCGGGAGAATGCCGTGGGCCAGCTTGCCCAAGTTCTGATGTCCGTAGTGGCCCAGCTGACCAGAACACTCTGTCGCCAAGCCGCGAAGGAAATGCTTGCCAACACACCCACAGCGCAAACAGGCATGGATCTGCAGGCCCTTGAAATAACCCAAGAGGTGGGACTCATGAATCGGAACTCCTTGGACGTGAACTCCAACATCACCCACTCTCTGAATGTGGCCCTTGAGAACTCCTCCCAAGCAGGGCGTCTCCAAGAACCTTTCAAGCTTGCGACCACTCGCGCTGCAACCACAAGCCGAACAATGAAAGGATGTGCCCATGCCTGTGAAGACCTGGTGCTCGGACAACTTGACACGACGACTGAACTTTTTCGCCATGGACCTCGTCGGACGGAAACGTTTGGGCTCCGCCTCCGCCGCAGCCAGAAAAGCCTTGGCCAAGTGTTTGCGGACAGCACGACCGATTGCTTCCGCATGCTCCAAGGACTCCGCTACCGAGCTAGGAACAGACACCACCTTTGCCCAATACCCAGCCGCTTCATCAGCTAAGGCGTTAGCTAGGTAGTGTTCGATCTGCGTCCCAGCTTGGATGGCCAACTCGACCGACATGTGGCTCTCGATCTTGACGACGCTGAGCAAGGACGGGTACTGTGCCACCACGTCCTTGACCTGCAGCCAAAGGTCCAAGTTCGTAGTCGGAAGCCGCCCTTGCGAAAGTTTGCGGAGCCCCTTGACCACGTACCCCGAGTCCGTGACGAAGGTGATGGGGACCCCTAAGTCGAGCAGATCTTCAGCGGCCCTAAGCAAGGCCGTCGTCTCACCACGGTTGATGGTCTGCTTCTTGGGGATGCCGCCGCCTCGGGAGAACAACAGCTGGACGTCTAGGTCGGTGTCGGTGGTCACCTTGATAACTTGATATGACCAGCCAATCCGCCGCAACCTAGCATCTGCTGAATAAAGCCCCCCTGACGCATCACCACCAACCAAGAGATGATCGTGCTTCTTGAGATCTTCCTTATGGCCGATGACCTCATCATACGGGTTGTCTGTCGGCTCGTCCACCTTGGTCCAAGGAGCAGGCAATATGCCCCTCAACCAAAGGCAGGGAAGGTTTTCGTAATCTTGGTGAGCCCTGTTACGCAAGTTCGCAGAAACCGACGAGAACAACTCGTTGCAAGAACATGACCAACTACGATGCAAATCGGTCTCGTCCAATCCACACTTGCAACGCTGACAGTCGGTGGTGTCCAAATTGCTGCTGCTCAGGGTCGAGATCCTGCTGCGTGTCCACGAAGCTCCCGTCATGACAGTCTCGATAGCGCCTGCCATCTCGTGCTCGCCCTTCTTCTTCAAAACTGTGAGGTGACGTCGAGCTTCACGAACGTCAGCTCCCTCTTCTAGACCTTTGCCATTCCAATGCCGCGAAGCCTTATCCCAAAGCATACGGTCGATCGTATCAGAGATGGCATCTTTGAGGGCACTCATATCTTGGGGACCTTGACCGATGATATGGTCTGGGGCCATAAACCTTTCGCCAAGATCGGAAATCCATGCCCAGGGCCCCACTGGATCCCAACCGATGTCTAAGAGCGTGGCTATAGTTGCAGATACCACTCCAGTGATGCCTCTCCATCTGTCCTTCTGAGCCCTGCTGTCAATTCGCCTTCGTGCCGTCCTCCATGTACGACGTGCCAACTCTAGATCGAAGCCTGGTTTGAAGATAATGGACATCCAAGATTCCACCAGCCTGTGCGCGATCTGGTACTGAGGGTCCTTGCGGCCGACACGAAGTTGTAACAGAGTGGTGAGGCAACGACCTGGCCATTTCTTTGCCGGAGTCTGTCCCAGAGCTTTCCTCCACCCGTTGATGACCGACGGAGCCGCTCCAAAGACTTTGTCAGAGTAATCAGCCATCGGAAGAACTCCCATCATGGCCAGCTTTGCGCCGATCTTCTTACGAACAGCCCCTTGAGCAAACCGCTTGACGCGAGTGAAACGCTGCTGAGCACCTCTTCGCCGCTGTGCCTGCTTCGGACGCCGAAAACCAACCGCACCTCGATCGATGCCCAAGTCGGTGGCGACACTCTCGATCTTGACCTCGAAGCCCTCCTTGGCGAAGCCTCGTTTTAATTCCTTGCCTAGCCCAGCATTGTTGGTGACGATCGTCGACTTTGCCGATGTCACCAAACCGGCCTCAGAGCAACCTTTTGCAAAAGTCAAGCCGGCTTGCAAAGCTAATCCAAGAACTCTTTTGTATCGGCCTTCCACTCTTTGAGAAACATCATCCACCCAAGACCTGGCCGTAACACCAGGAGACCCCTGCGCCACTCTGTCCAAGATATTGTACAAAGAACAGCGAGAGAAATCCACTGCGCCGCCAAGTCCAGCAATCATGCTCTGCTCGGGTACGATGGCATCAGAGTAATAACCACTGTCACGGAGGAAACGCACCCCCATGTGTAAAATCATCTCCAAAGCCAAGATGCACGGTGGAAATTCGTGCTCCATACCCGTCTCCAGTAAGAGCTGCCATTTAAGAGCGTCATAAAACCCCTCAATGTCCCACAGCACGCTGGCCTGCACCCAATCCTTAATCGTGGTGAGCGCGACCGTCTCGTCCAGGTAACTGCGAGCTAAGGCCTCGCGCAAGGCTGAGGAACCTGCCACTGCTGCATCCCAATGCCCAGCCTTTGCCTTAGTCCAGCTGACACGGTACTCGCCTCGACAACTCGACCAGAGCCTCGCCAAGGTCGATAATATACCAATGGCCCTGTCGTCACCGCTCGGCTTGCGTAGGAGAGTGACCAGAACCACCGTAAGTTGCCAAGGCCATGCCACTGACTGCTCGATAAGTTGAAAAAGCTGGACCAGCTCCTGCTTACCTTGCTCGGGCAGCCAGATGAGGTCCTTCTTCCCCAACTGCTCAATGCCCTTCGCCGAAGTGCCCTTCATCCTTCGGATACCGTCTTCCAGCGTCTCCAAGTCGAAGAGAGGGAAAGCATCTTCACGAGCACGAGCCCTAGCACGTCCCAAGAGTAAGGAGACCTGGCCGATGTCCAGCTGCTGGTCGCTCCACTTCTTCTTCCACACCTTAGCCCGAATATCCATCGCCGTGAGGGGGTCCGACGATATCACCTGGCCTTCCTCGAACTCGTCCTTCGAAGTGGCCTTGTCCTTGATCAGTCTAAACAGCTTCCCAGGTGCCGCCACGTACTGCTCCTCCGCCCATTGAGAGAAAGCCAGATACTGGGAATAACATTCCATCTGCTGCAAGCTGGCCGCAATCTTGCTGCTCTCGTCCTTGTAGCGCCTGATGGTGTCGTTCGTGGCGGTGCTGAGCTGCCGCAGCTTCCTGCACCAAGCTGTTTTCTCCTTGCGAGGGAGAGAGGCCAGGGTCGAAGAAGGAACCCAAGCCGTGGCCTCCCTGAGCCTGGTAGTGATCTTTCCAAACCGTGGCGATTCTCGCTTGGAACTGGCCCTGTCCAGCTCCTCCATCAAGAAAGCTATCTTGGCCCACCAGTCCACTCCAGGATCCCGTGTACGCGTAAACGGAGGGGACGGCACCACTTTATGGACCCTGGTAAGCCGAGCAAGACCTCGGCCTCGATGAGCCTTGCTGTCTTTGTCCAGACCCTCACCGTCGAGCAGGTGGCTGAAGAACTCTTCCACCTTGCCAACCCACTCACCGAAGGCAATGCCCAACTTGCCAGCACTATCAGAAGTGAGCCGCCATGCGTGGGAGTCCGTGACATACGACGGCGGTTTCGACCAGCGATGATCCTGAGGTATGCTGATGGACGACCAAAGATCGGCACGCTGATCAACTGACCACTTGTCGCCTAAGCCAGCTTCACCCCCAGGAGGGACCAGGCCTTCATCTTGATCCTCTGGTTCGGCAGGTAGAGGCTCGTCGTCGTCAGGCTCGCCCTCATCGCTCTCTGACTCCTCCCCAAGATCCATAGGACCCAAGAAATTGAATGGAGGAGGAGATTTGATACCAAGCCGCCGTCTCTCCCCAAGCTTGGCGATGTTCGGTCTCGCTGACGTTGGAGTAGCCACCGCCACCAACTTTCTCGAGCGCTTGCTGTTTGGATCCGCCTGCTTCTTGGGCTGAGGCGGAGGGCCAAAAGCCTTGGGTAAGCTGAGAGTTCGTCCCTCAGCTGGCTTGGCATTCAGAAGTAGATCCAAGACAATACCGTAATGTGCTTTGCCGCCTTCGCCCACTAAGTCAGTGTCGGCGTGAATGCGGTCCAGGTACTCCAGGGCAGGCCCTGAGGCCACAACATAGTCTATGAGCGTGCCCTGCCCTCCAGTGTACGTGTAGTCCACGTTGTCTGCCACCAGGATATTGCCTTGGACCAGATTGAGCCACCCGGCCTTGCGAAGGGTATCTGGAGGGAAGTTCCAGTCGCATAAGATAACCCAAGGTGTCGATAAAGAAGAAACGAGTGAGGCCAAATGCCTGAGTTTCTCCACGTTGGCGCCCGTGATGCCCAACCCATTGTAGAGGTAGCCTCCGATTATCGTGAGATGTGCACCTTTCAAGAGCACCTGCATCCCGACCAAATCCTTAAAACGAACTCCAGTGGTAAGAGCCGCCACGTCCTTCTTGCCTTTATCTGCTCGCTTACCAGGTAGCTCTTCCTTGTTGGAGGCCAAGTGTCTGAGTGACCAAGAAGACCATTTCTTTGAGACACCCATCGCGACACCACCAGCTTTCTTCGTGAAGATAGCAGGCTCAGCACCCGCTGGGCACACCATACGTTTGTAGCCAGCTTTATCAAACTCCACCAAGACGTCATTGGTTTCGGCCATGTCCATGTGGGTCTCCTGGATGATGACCGCGTCGTAGGACCGCTTCAACAGCGCCTTAGCCGAGGTACCCCAGGTCGACATGTTGCGCATGTACACCCGAAACTGTGCACCAGCATCTTTGTCAGCCTTCGCCTCCTTCTCGGTAACCTGAGTGACCCCCATAGCTTGTATGACCCAGTCCCAGAAGATGCACATTCGATCCTGAGCCTGATCGTCCTCCATGTCGTCGTCATCGCGGTCAGGAAGGTGACGATCTGGAGGAACTCGATTCCCGAGAAGGCGTCGAAACCGTCGGCGCAGCTCACTAAGGTCGTCGAAATGCCATCGCAAGAATCTCCTGTAGTGCCTAGGGGTCCTGATGGAGTTGAGCGCGTTGAAAAATAGAGCCCTGTGCGGCTCCGCTGTGACCCAAGAGCGCGTGCATAAGTGTTCTGCGATGTCCTGCAACGACATGCGGTAGTAATTCTCCAGGTTCTGACGGAGGCCGCGCTTAGACCGACGTGAGAGCGATGCAATAAAGTACGGAACACACCACTCCTTCCAATGCTCCAAAGAATTGTAGCGCTCGCCTCTGATGTCGTGGACCCACCTGGCCGCAGATGCAGTCATTTCATACCTAAGGTCTCGTCGCTCTCTGGCTCGATCCACTCGAGGGGGTTGAGGAGGTCGTGGCCGTCGACCTCGAAGTTCAGAGCCTAAGTCAACGTAGAGCTCCCAGGTAACCTTCCAACCACTTACCTCAATCGTGCCCTCGATGAGAAGGAGACTGCCGTGCTTCGCGAACAGAGACCTTTCCTTGCCAACCGAAATCGGTGGCCAGTTTCCAACACGAGCCAGCCCAGCAAGTGGCAGCGACGAACCTGGGTGTCCAGGATTTTGCGATCTGACACCATGTCCAGAGAAGGACAGAAGAGGTGGCGACATTGAACCTGGCGAACCAGGATTTTGCGAACTAGCACCTCGATTTCCCCCCGGCTTGGATCATGACGACGTCGTACCTGGGTGTCCAGGATTTTGCATTCTGACGCCCGCCTGGAAAGAATCTGCCTGTGCCGTCGACTGAGAGAGCAAGGTGCCGTGGTCGAAATGGTTAATTGCCTCAAAGTGCTGCAGTGGCTCAAGCTGATCTGTCCAGGAATCTTGAAAATTGACGCTGTCAAAAGTACGAAATAACTTCGAACCATGCCAGTGCCAAGCAGGGGTCTCAAGTGGAGCCCCCCCCTGCGAATAGAGACTGTTGAGACTGCTGTTCCCATCCATCGAAACAGGGGTCTCGAAAGGAGCCACCCCCTGCATCCCACTATCTTGGTAATTGAAATAGCTACCACCAGAGAGCCCAAGAGGGGCTGCCAATTGAGAAGCACGATCGTCCCAGATGAAACAGGCCTGGTCCTCCCAGATCGTGCCAAGGGTCCCGAGAGGGGCCACCCCTTGGTAAGTATGCTCCCCCAGCGTGCTGTAGAACGTCTCTGGCAAGAACTTGCCAGGGGTCCCGAAAGGGGCCACCCCCTGGTATGCAGTCTCATCCGTGGAGCTGTAGACCGTGGCCTCCCAGTCCGTGCCAAGGGTCCCGAAAGGGGCCACCCCTTGGTATGCAAGCTTATCTGTGGAGCAGTAGATCGTGTCGTTACCGTCCGTGCCAAGGGTCCCAGGAGGGGCCACCCCTTGGTATGCTAGTAAGCTGCCGTCGCCCTGGCCGACGTTCGTGACAGGGGTCTCGAAAGGTGCCACCCCCTGCAATAAACTCGTGCCGCCGAAGTCCAGGCCAGGGGTCCCAAGAGGGGCCACCCCCTGGAATAGCCTCCTGGATGTCCAAGTTGCTGCCGTACTTGTAGTAGATCTGCCCAACGTGCCCTCTTCACTGGCCTCCCCCTGTGCTGCTACCTGCCCAGGACGGGGCGGGAGCCAGGGATCGGCCGAGGGTGGGCTGCTAAACTGTCGACTGCTTGCCAACTGCATCTGCCCTCTTCCTGGCCAACGCCTCGTCCATGATGGTGCGGAGCTCTGTCTGCTTGCCGTCGACCAAAGGAGAGACACTCGCCCAGGGAGATTTGCCAGCCGCCGCTGTCTGTGTCGGTGCCGTAGGTGTGGAGGGAGTGGCCCCCGCCGCAGGGCCTGCGGCTGAAGCAGCCGCCGTAGCCGCAGCGCCACCTGCTTCAGCTGGTCCTCCTTCGCCAGGCTTGGCCGCCGAAGCAGGCGGGCACGAACTGGACTTGCGCTTCTTGGCCTGTTGCCAAGATCCGATCTCCTCCACCTTCTTCTGCTGCTGCGAGGCCAAATTCTCCACCACCTTGCGGAACTGCGAGTCCAAAGCCGCACGGAACTCCGCCTCGAAGGTGCTCTTGCGCCGCTCGAACTCCTCGCGATCGCTATCCTCAAGGTCCACGTCGTCGAAGAGCCCCCCGAAGCTGAGGTTGAGCTCCGCCTTCTGGTCCAAGAACTGACGGACGTCCAACTTCCCCAACTCAGATGGAGACGAAGGCGGCTCAGGCGCCAGCTCTTTGGCCACGAGCTCCTGCGCCACAATAGCATCTGCCAAGTTGCTCGCACAATCTCGGTAGAGTCCCATGGCTTCTCCCAGCTCTTGCTCGAGACGGAGGACACGCTTCGCCACCTTGTCCATGCTGGCCTCGGCCCGCTCGACCTTCTGCGTCGCCTCCGAGAGCCTGATAGATGCGGTCTTCGGTGGTGCAGCAGCGGGGACTTGATTGACCAAGGTATCACGGAGTAGCTTTGCCTGCTCAGCTGCTGCACCTCCCTTGGCGATGATGCGCTCCAGGGCCGCCGTGTCCCGGTCCGAAGTCCCAGAGCCGTGAGCTGCATCTGCTGGTTGCGGTGCTCCACCTCCTGTTCCTGTGGGCTTACGTCCTTTGAGGAAACAGCCGCAGTACTGGCAGGTGTAGTCGAATTTCTCCAGCAAGTCATTGTAGCAGAACTTCCCACAGACTTTGCACCAGGTCGCATCCCGTCCAAGCTTGGGAAGAGCAATGCGCTGCGAAATGTTCTGTCGAAGATCCGCTCGAGGGGTCGCTGGTCGCCAAGGCTGCATCGTGAAGTTGCCGTATGCGTTCGAGCTACCATTCCCAAGACTGGGCCACTGGTCGCTGAGAGACATACTTGCGCCTGCCGAGGTCGAAGACTGATACCACGGCGCTCTGCTCTGCCAAGACTTATACTGCTGACGCCCTCCTTTCCCCATGAAACAAGAATATGTAGTAGGAAACCTGTGGTGATCAGGCTCCTGAAAGCAATTGAAGACTGGCTGCGGACTAGCAGCTTCCGAGTTGGCACGGAGGCGCGGAGCCCCCTGAGTGCAGTCATCTTGAGCCAAAATGGCTACGGAGGAGGAGGAGGAGGAGGAGGAGGAGGAGGAGGAGGGAGGAGGAGGAGGAGGAGGAGGAGGGTCCCGGGACAGGTGTTGGGCGGTTCGGACCAACGGCAGCTGGCCGTCCCTGAGATCCTGGCGCTGCCACTCTCCACCCCGGGCGTGGTCTCGTTCGGTTCGGGGGTGCGGGGGTCCTGTCGGATCGATGCGGCTCGGAACATGCAACAGAAGTAGAAGGTTCCAGTCGTGATGTTTCGCGATGTTGTGTGTATGTGTGATTCAGGCCCTTCCACCCGTTGGGTCTGGGCCGATACGTCTTGGTGTGGTAGTCTTCTCGGATCATGGATACACCTTGATGTCGCTGACGCCGCGGCTCGCTGCCGCCGTCGGGATCCTCGTCGGACTTACCACCCCGACCTCTGTGCTACCCGACAGGCTGGGGCTGGCGTCCTCGGTCGTTCCCTTGTCCGCCTTTGGACGTTGGTACGTTTTCGCGCCATTTTGGCTGCGCTAGGTGGTCTCGGTGCCTACCTGAGGCTGTTGGACGCACCTGCATGCCCGTTCAGGGGCTGTCATGGCACCTGGATTGCATCGTCTTCGCCTCCCTGGACGCTATCGTGAGCCGCCTGATCCGCGGCCC